GTGCCAGTGACGGTGAGACCACCTCTGACACACAGTGCCAGTGGCCGTGGATCTGACACCCGCTCGGGGAAGGCTCTGGTCCCCGTCCCCCACCCCGCAACCATCAGAGGCTCAAAGGGGAAGCAGCAGCCACTCGCTGTCCTCATCTTCAAAGAAAGAGAGAAGGGAAAAGAGGTCACAGCTCCAGGGTCCCCAACTTCACACGGAGCCTCCAGGGCGTGCCTGCAGGGAGGGGCTCCCCCACGGGAGCGGGGCGGGGATGACCTCAGAGCCCCTGGCCTGGAACCACACAGGCTGGCCGCGGACAAGGAGCTACATGGAGCCTTGTCCTCCAGGGCCTGGTGACGTCTCCCGGCCTATGAGCGCGCAGTGGGAATGGCCCGAGGAGCCTGGGGGAACGCCATGGGCGTGAGGCCGGAGCCAGGCTTCCGTGGGTCAGAAATGACCGGTGAGCCCTGGGAGGACACCAACCTGCTCCTCCACGCTGGAAATGCCAGTTGTGCCGAAGCACAGTCTTGAAGGGACAAAGCAACGTGTTCCGCTGTCTGCACTCGGGGGAACAGCGCTGAGCTGTGGAGAAAGAGACCAGACACCGTGGCCCCTCAGGACCACACTGCTGAGCGGCCTCCTGGGCACGGCAGGCACGGGTCACCTGCGCAGGACGAAGGCTCCTGGCTGTGGCACGGCGGCCTGTGCCAGCGTCGGGGGCAGGCAAAGGCACCCCGGGGGAGCACGGGAGACCAGCCCTGCAGCAAGCTTGGGGCCGCGTGCCTGACGATGAGCAGCCGGCGTCTACGCAGGCCCTTGCAGCCCTCGGGACAGCGCGTTTACGTCTCAGAGGAGAAGGGTTAAGGATAAGTGTCAGTCTCTTCAAATTCCGGAAATGCAGATCCTAATCGCTGACCAATACAGGGTCCTGAGGATTACCGCAGACAAGGCGTGTGAAGGCCCCAGCACGGCGCCGGGCACCGGCTCCCCTGCCTTCCCGCCTCAGCCGGCTTCGTGGTGCCAGGCTTCTCACAGGCGGCTCCTTCCCGCCCCCTGGTCCCCATCCACACACGAAGGAAGTGGCCCAAGCTCAACAGGTCGTGACAATAAAGGAGATCCCTGTCCTCACCAAATGCCACAAAGATCCCCACGGCCACACACAGCCACCTCTGCCTCCACTTACCAACTGCCAATCATCAGTTTGTGTCTCGAAGAACTGAGTGGAAGCTCAACCGAGGCTTCTCACTAAGTACACAGAGCTTCTCGGGCGACGTGGGGTCACTGGGACAAGACCGGAAGCAGCCGCCGGGGACCGGCACATCACCCTGTGAGAGCGGCCGATGGCGGCCACCGCCTTAGCCGATCTCAGGAAAGCCGTGCCACCATCACACTGCTGCTACTCCCCTTCCACGTGCTGACACGGGAGAGGCTGCGGCTGTCTGTGCTTCGTCTTCAACAGCAGCAGAGCGCCCTAGCTTGCTAGACGGCGCTTCTTTGCAACGTATCACCAGGATACTTACTGAACACACTAATGAACCAAGCCACTGATTAAGTGGCTCAATCCCATCTGTAGTCTCCTAAGAACCAACTTCAGAAGTTCCCAAAACACCAGGAAAAGCGTTGAAGGAACTAGAACCCATTTCCTCTTTCTCTGCTTCAGTCACTCTTGTATTTGCTGCTCATCACGGAGAGAACTTGGGGACGTAAACGTGGTCTGGGGAGAATGGAGACCACATTCGGTCCCCACAGGTGTCGCTGTCGCTACCCCGAGTGTTAATGACCAGGCAGGCCTGCAGACCCCAGGGCAGGTCTTTGGCCGTGGTGCCAGGAGCCAAAAGCCCTCCTTTGCGATTGCCCGAGACAAACCAAAGCCCACCTCTGCACCCAGTGCCACACTGCGCCTTGGGCACCAAGCACAGCCGCCCCAACGCCGCAGCTGCCTGCGTAACAGATGCGTTCTCGTCCTCAGTAACTTCTGCTGCGCTGCTGTGCAGGGACACGCACAGGCCCAGCAGGGAGAAACGACTCCGTTACGAATTCCACAGGCCCCGACTCCTCCATTTTCTCTGCCAATCGAATAACCGCAGGAAACTACGGACAAGGACGGTCACTGGCACACCCTCGCACGTCACTCAGAACGGCGTGCGCTACAGTTCCCCACACTCTCGGCAGTGTTCCGCCTCCGGCAGCAACACAGCCACGCCGACGCCGCAGCCCCCTCACAGAGCACACACACTCGCGGAGGGTGTTGGCCGGTTCACAGAGACAGCGCACAGAGCGGGGGTACTGAGTCCCACACGCCAGGCGCTCACTGGCCACAGTGCACACGGCAGCCCGGTGACTGCCGCGCCAGGACAGAACGCTGAGGTGCCCAGGACGAGAAAGGCGGTGTGGACACCTGCACTTCCTTAAGGGTAGCGGCAAGCGAGCTGATGACGGAGTTTCTAAGAGCAAACGTCTCCGGCTCTCATCCTGGCAGTGTGGACGCTCACCAGGAGCAGTGTGGACGCTCACCGGGAGCAGTGAGGACGCTCACCGGGAGCAGTGTGGACGCTCACCAGGAGCACTGGGAACCCAGCCTGCGAGGCCGGGGCTGGAGACACCTGGGTTTGTTTCACCAGGAGCACTGGGAACCCAGCCTGCGAGGCCGGGGCTGGAGACGCCTGGGTTTGTTTTCATTTATACACACACGCTGCACACATCCATGGAGTCCTGAGGGACGCCCCGCTGTGTGTTCAGTTGTGCAAGTCTTGCTTCTATAACTGGCAGAGGCCACCGCCATCTTGCAAGGAGAGGGCAGGGCTGCTGTTACACGGCCAGCAGTGCCCAGGACGTGCCCGCGCCCACCCAGACCTTAGCAGTGCTGAGGAACCCCGGCTCGGCTTAGGCCCAGTGTCCTCCCGTCCAGCATCGTAAACCCACAGGTGCAAGGTCCTCAAACCCTTCAGACTTCAGTTAAAGCTCCGTTTTAACTTTGGTGGAAAAAAAAGTTAATTTTAAACCGTATCTGCACAATGAGAGGAAGAAAAGGGGCCACATTACAAAGTGCAGGGGTCTTCAAAGTCTGTGGAAAATGCGTCAGGGAAACCTACGCACGATTTCATGGATGGTTTGCACCAGAGTAACCTTGTCTCCGCGTGCATCTCTTACACACTTCCTGACGCGCCCCGGGTGCAGCCGCTGTTCCAAGGCCGCCCACTGGAGGCGCCCACGTGCGCCCAGCCCCTCTGACAATCACCTCTCCCACAGGGAGCTGCGCGCCAGCTCCCTCCTGCACTGTTTTCAACTCAGCTCCCACAGTTTCCGGGCTGCCCTAGAGGAGTCAGGAGTGGTCTGAAGAATTCCATCTCCTCTGCGGTTCTGGGATCATCCACTGGTGTCCTGCAATTAAAATTCCCAGAATATCTCGTGGACGGAGGCCTGTGGACACTCAAATGAGGGCTGGGATGGACAGCACGAACAGTCCAGGTCTCGCGGGACACACAGCAGCTAACATAGAGCAGGCCAGCACAGAGGGGCAGCCCTAGAGCAGCTATCACTCTCTTCATGCGTTATTTCACTTCAATCCAGGAGAGCTTTGTAAGCCAGGGAGTCTCATTTTCATTTGAGAGGCAGAGAGAGAAAAACTGAGAGGGGCCAGTGCTGTGGCGAAGTGGGTAAAGCCACTGCCTGCAGTGCCAGCATCCCATATGGGTGCCTGTTGAAGTCCTGGCTGATCCATTTCCCATCCAGCTCTCTGCTATGGCCTGGGAAAGCAGCAGCAGATGGCCCAAGTCCTGGCCCCCTGCACCCACGTGGGAGACCCAGAAGAAGCTCCTGGCTCCAGAAACTCTGTTGCAGTCAATCTGGAAGTGAACAAGTGGATGGAAAACCTCTCTCTCTCTCTCTCTCTCCCCCTCTCCCTCTCCCTCCCTCTCTGTGCAACTCTGACTTTCAAATAAATAAATAAATCTTTAAAAAAAAAAAGAAAAAGTGAGAAAGACACATGAGAAGTGCTCCCACCCACCGGTTAACACCCCAATGCCCACCACAGTTGAAGCCGGAGCGTGCAGCCAGAAACGCAGTCCAGGGCTCCCCCTGAGAGAGCCATCGCTCTGGCTTCCACAGTCGACACTGGCAGGAGGCTGGAGGCAGGAACCAGAGGCTCCTATCCTGGCACTGCGATATGGGAGGCGGGCATCCTAACTTGGGGCCACACACCCGCCACAGAGCAGCCGCGAGCCCAGGCAGAGGCGCGCTTGCTCAGCACGAGGTGACGGCGAGCGGAGACACCGTTCCCGGTGCCTGCACCAGCACAGCACCTGGCCCTCTGGATCGCCCAGGCCCAGGTCCTCCACGCAGGCCTTCAGGTCCGGGCACCAGCTGCACAGCGGGATCTGCGCAATGCTGCAGGTGCCTGGGCACGCAGTGAGATGGAGACGTTTCCTGGAACAAACAGGACTCTGTGTGAAAACTCACGAGGAGAAAACCAAGAAAGCCGCTTTCTTAAAGAGGAAAGGACTTCCAGAGCTAGGGCGGACCCCACTCTTGATTTTGGTTCTCTTTTTTTTTTTTTTTTAAAGCACAACTTTTAGCCTGGCTTTCCTCAAACCCTGACAGAATGCACAGCTTAAAAAAAAAAACACAAAACGAAGGCAGAAGAGCAGGCAGCCGCGAGGCACCCCTCCACCCTGCTCCTGATCCCTGGCACCTGCCCAGCGGAGACGGCACCACAGCTGTCGTTCATAACATCCGTGCGAGGCCCCCAGGGAAGCAGCCGTCAGCTTCCCTCTGAATGACAGCTGTCATAGGAACAGGCCCAGGTGTCCCCACTCGCCTGGGGGGTCCCACGCTGCCCCGGGGCCACCAGGCAACTCGGGGTGCTCCCTTGCTCCTACGCAGTTTCTCCCACAAAGACCAACATCTCCTTAAACAGAAAACGCAGAACGAAGGCAGGCCACACGGCAGCCATCACCGGCCGCTGTCTCCAGCGCCAGCCCCTGTGCCAGGGACCCCCACGTGCCAGCAGGCACCCCACCCCCCGTCCGCCATCATCAGGAATCTGAGGAAGAGGAACCAGAACACGTTTCCCTTTTAGCCTAGAACAGAATCACAACCTCATGCCAGCAATACTGATGCCACGCTCCGCACAGTACAATAGAGGAGAGGAGGAGGAGGGCGTGGGAGGAAGGAAAAGGGAGGAGGGGAAAGAGGGAGAGAGGACAAGGGGGAGGGGGAGGGGGGGAGGAGGGGGGACTTTAAGCTGTTGTATCCACCAGGCAGTGCCCTAATCATGGAGAGGCTGACCCTGGACACCCTGGTGAGGGGAGGGAGGGAGAAAGGGGAGGGGGAGAGGAGTGGGGAAGGGAGACTGGAGGCTGTGGTGTCCTCCTGGCAGCACCCTGACCATGGGGAGGCTGACAATGGGCACCCTGGTAAGGGGAGAGAGGGGGAGGAGAAGGGGAGAGGGAGGGGAAAGAGGAGTGGGGAAGGGCGACTAGAGGCTGTGTGTCCCTGCAGGCAGTGCCCTGACCACAGGGAGGCTGACCATGGGCACCCTGGTAAGGGGAGAGAGGGGCAGAGGGAGGGGAAAGAGGAGTGGGGAAGGGAGACTGGAGGCTGTGGTGTCCTCCTGGCAGCACCCTGACCATGGGCACCCTGGTAAGAGGAGAGAGGAGGAGGGGGAGGGGAGGGAAGGGCGACTGGAGGCTGTGTGTCCTGCAGGCAGTGCCCTGACCACGGGGAGGCTGACGGCGGGACCCTGCACACAGCGTGTAAGGTCAGCCTGCTGCACTGCTGGCCACGGGGGAAGGGCTGGCCTGAGGGCTGGTGTGAGTCTGGGGACGACAGATGCGGCAGCAGGGTGCCCGGTGCAGGGCAGCCTTCCAGGCACCGATCCACCTGCATGCTGCACAGGCACGCCTACCGGGACACGTCACGGTTCACCCTGCACACACAGGGACCTGGACACCACGGCCGGACGCTGCACCCCTGCTGCGGGGGCCGTGTCAGATCTGTCCTCCGTCTGCAGGCTGCCGGCTGCCCACAGCACAGGGGCAGCCGAAGCGTGAAGAGCAAGCTGGCCGTCCCTGAGGGGCTCCCGTGCACCACGCTCCAGCTTGGGCATTGGTCCACAGCCCTGCGAGCCATCGTCCACTCTGCTGTCACCGTCAGCCTGCGCCTCAAAGCTGCTTCTGTCACCCCCTGTTACAGATCTCACAATAACTCTGTACTCCAGTGGACAAAATCCAAACTCCTCAGCACGACCCGCAAGGCAGCTGACCAGTGGGCTCAGCCTGCTCTGCTCCCAGCGCCTGCAATGATGCCAGCCTGGAGGTCGTTTCTGGTGGCACCTGCTGGTGACATGCATGACACACGTGTGAGTGGGACAGGCACGCTCACACAGAAGACACTAAGCAGGACTGCTCACGCTTCCCCCAGGACAGCACCACACAAGTTAGAACGGTGCTGACCGGGGCCTGGCGTGGGAAGCGGCAACCAAGCAACCGAGCAGACAGCGCCTTCCACCAGGGACACGCAGGAGCACGGGAAACGCGATTCTGGAGCAGGACAGTGAGCACGCGGAGAAGGGTGTCAGTGGGCTCCCGGCTCGTGGAGCACGGGGCACTGGGGCTGACGGGGGCTGAACCCTGCGCCACTCACTGCCGTCCTCAGAGAGACCCGCTGAGAGCTCTCTCCAAGCCCACCGCTGGCCGTGCATCTGTTTCCTGCAGGCCCAGCAACCAGCCGGGCACACAACCCTCAAGTGACGTCCACCCTCAACGCCAACCACCACTGAGACCACGGCTGACCCCAACTCTCAACTCTCATACTGAACTCATTCAAGTCATGTTCTAAAACTGAAAAATACAGGACAACAGAATGTAAGGAGCCTCAGGAACTCATTCTCACAATCCGAGCCGGAGCACTGGGCGTGGGGCGGGCACGGGGGTGGAGAAGCCGCAGCGTTGCAGCCCCCGGGAGGAAGGGCGGTTGGGCTGAGTGTAGGCGGAGCCAGCGCAGGGCTCAGCCAGGGGCCAGGCATGGCAGAGGTCTCAGGAGCTTCAGCGTCAGCCGTGTCGGCGAGACCTCCTGGGAAGGCCACGTGCAGCAAGAGTGGGCCTGCCATCTGCCCCAGAGGCCGGGGAACCCAGGGAGGGAGGCAGGCGGCCAGGACCTGGCAGAGTCCCGGACAGAGTGGGCCTGTCGTCTGCCCCAGAGGCCGGGGAACCCAGGGAGGGAGGCAGGCGGCCAGGACCTGGCAGAGTCCCAGACCACCCGCCGTCTCCACCCCTGCCACACCAGCCCGGGTTCAAACCCTCAGCCCAGGCAGGGCCGAGAGGACCAGCAGGGGGACCTCGCTTCATGGGGATGTGGACAGCACAGCGTCCTTAAGGGGCAAAGCCTGAAACTGACCATCAGCCACACCACACGCGAACCCTGTGCCAAGTGCCGGGAAAACCACACTGAGCCATTAAACGTGCTGCTTCCAAACGAAGGCATACCATTTAAGTAAACATGAGGTTTCCTTCTAAGACGATTCGAGGGCACCTCAAAAACTTGGTGCAAAACCAGAATGCACACGTTTATTTTGGTGCAAAGACCTGAGATCCACGCCCACTGTTTCGCAGCATGCATTCAAAGACCTCTCTCAGAAGGCTTTTGTTTAATGAGTTCAATATTTGGAACTCAAGGCCAGGTCCTGAGCTGTTACTTCACTGCGTGTGATTCCAGGAGAATTTCATGTGACTTTCTTAAAACACGAGCCAATCAACTAAACACTTCTAAGCCACAACCTCACTTCTGCACTCGCTGTCGGTCCCAGTGTCAGCCCCTCACTCTGAACTCACCTTCAGAGAGGACTGCTCATGCCTCTGTTTTAAATTGTATCTGCAGGTGCCGGCGCCGTGGCTCACTTGGTTAATCCTCTGCCTGCATCCCATGTGGGCGCCGGGTTCTAGTCCCAGTAGCTCCTCTTCCAGTCCAGCTCTCTGCTGTGGCCTGGGAGGGCAGTGGAGGATGGCCCAAGTCCTTGGGCCCTGCACCCGCATGGGAGACCAGGAGAAGCATCTGGCTCCTGGCTTCAGATTGGCATAGCGCCGGCCATGGCGGCCATTTAGGGAGTGAACCAACCAAAGGAAGACCTTTCTCTCTCTCTCTCTCTGTAACTCTACCAAATAAATTAAAATAAATGAATAAATTAAATTTTATCTGCAAACTGTGTAGCCTATAGACAAATATCTGTAACTAAGAAATAACAGTAAAGGGAACTGATTTTCTTAAAAAGATTCATCTATGAAGTGGTGGTGGGGGGTGGACTTCTATCTGCTGATTCACTCCCTAGATGGCCACGGCAGCCAGTTTTAGGCCAGCCAGAAGCCAGGAACCAGGAACTCTGTCCAGGGCTCCCACATGGATGCAGGGCCAACACTTGGGCCATCTTCCACTGCCTTCCAGGTGCTTTAGCAGGGAGCTGGATCAGAAGTGGAGGAGCTGGGACTCGAACTGGTGCTCCAATATGGAATGCTGGCATTGCAAGAGGAGCTTAACCTACTGTGCCACAATGCCAGCCCTGAAATCATACATTGTGCTAAAAAGGTTCTAAATTTTCTCTGAAAGGCAGAGAGAGAGAAACAAGAACCAGACAGAGCCTAGAGTTCACTCTCCACAATGCCTCCCAACAACCAGAGCTGGACCTGGGCCAGACCCAGGAGTCAGGAAGCAACCCAGGCTTCCCACGTGGGCAGCAAGGACACAACCACTGGAGGCCCCACTCGTGGCCTCCCAGGTGTGCACCAGCAGGAAGTGAGATGAGCAGCAAGGCAGGGCACAGAGTCGGGCCGCCACCATGGATCAGAGTATCCCAACCGCCCCTGAAAGGTGAGGTCAGACACCACCCGGAAATTAATGTTTTTAACAAGACACTGATCAACTCCTTCCACAGCACACTGTCCTTTCATAATCCTTATTACAACCCCTAGATTATATGTTGTACACGTTTGGATTTTTAAACCCCAGTCTGTTTAGAATTAAGCACACCCAACGCTTTGTTAGCCGATCCAAGTACGTTTTCATAGTAACCAGTTGACACATTAGTCAGGTGACTTTGGGACCCTGGGAACAGCACGGTCCCTCACAGTGCTCCACTCTCAACCAAGCAGCAGTGCGGACACGGGGAGAACGGGGTCGATAAAGACACAGCCCTCGTGGGTTTCCTTCCAGTCCGGAGCTGATGGAGGAACCTCTAGCCTTGAGTCAGCGTCCTCACCTGCCCCCACGCAGCTGAATCCTCGTCTCCAAAGCTCTGCAGAGTAAGTGAGCAGAGAGACGTCTCCTCACACGGAAAACTGCATCTCTCTCTGCCAGGAGAAGTGTCGAGGGGACAAGCGGTGCCAGGACGAGCAGGCAGACAGCACCTCGTACCTCCTCCCAGCCCCGGTCTGCACCTCCAGAGCCCAGGTCAGCGTGGGCAAACCACAGGGCCAGCTACACAAGGGTGCAGACCAAACAATTCTCCTCTCCCACAGCGGGAAAATCCCACTCACTGGGTTCTGTTACTGTCTCCACACCTGTGGGAGAGCCACGCTCATCAAGAACAGCTCAGCTCCCACCTTGCTCCCGCCCACACTGCCCGCAAGGCAAGATAAAGACTCAATGTACCAAAGGCCCCTCCAGGGCACCCCAACTCCAGAAACAGCTGCCAGGAAGACAGACTGAGCCCCCTTAGTCACCCCCAATCCATGGCTTTGTGAACTCCACCTGCAAACAAGCCAGCAACCATCATCAGAACCATACTAGACCTGTACACTCTGTCACCTGAGGCTAACAGTCATGCACCTGTCACCTGCACTACAGAAGAATGAAGGTGCACACACACACACACCTGTCACCTTTACCTACCCCAGGCTGCAGGTACACACCCACACACCTCTCACCTGTACCTACCCCAGGCTGCAGGTACACACCCACACACCTGTCACCTGTACCTACCCCAGACTGCAGGTGCACACTCACACACCTCTCACCTGTACCTACCCAGGCTGCAGGGGCACACCCACACACCTCTCACCTGTACCTACCCCAGGCTGCAGGTACACACCCACACACCTCTCACCTGTACCTACCCCAGGCTGCAGGTGCACACTCACACACCTCTCACCTGTACCTACCCCAGGCTGCAGGTACACACACACACCTCTCACCTTTACCTACCCCAGGCTGCAGGTACACACTCACACACCTCTCACCTGTACCTACCCCAGGTTGCAGGCACACATTCACACCCCCCATCACCTGTACCTACCCCAGGCTGCAGGTGCACACTCACACACCTCTCACCTGTACCTACCCCAGGCTGCAGGTACACACCCACACACCTCTCACCTGTACCTACCCCAGGCTGCAGGTGCACATTCACACCCCCCATCACCTGTACCTACCCCAGGCTGAAGGTAAAAACTCACACACCACTAACCTGAACCTACCCCAGGCTGCAGGTACACACCCACAAACCTTTCACCTGTTCCTACCCCAGGCTGCAGGTAAACAACAAAACAACTTTACCTGTACCTACCAAGAACTGCAGGTAAAAACTCACAAACCACTAAATTGAAATACCCAAGACTGCAGGTTAACACTCACACACCCTCTCACCTGTAACTTACCCCAGGCTGCAGGTACACACTCATAACACCTCTAAACTTGTACCTAACCCCAGGCTG